CTAGATAGGGCCTTTTGCATTTTTGCGGCCACTGTAGTTTCTCCTAGATGCTAAGAACAGGAGAATGAGGCGAGGGAGTTGCAATAAGCAACTACACTGCTAAATGCCAACAAATCCTACATACTGGACCTCATCTATCTTTCTTCACTACACCTTAACCTTTATTACCTTCAGTTGTAACAACAGGTTACACACAAAAAGAGAGGAAAAATACATTTTCCGAAACCCGTCAGACCTTGAGATCCATGACGATGGACTGGACCAGGAGGAATATGGTTGAGTGGTCCTCCCAATTGATGTAGGTGGAGGCTTTACACAGTTTGACACAGGCGATGGCAGCGCTCTCCATCAGCTGCTTACTGCCACCCTGGCCTGCTAAAGCTTTCCGCAAACTGTCCAAAAACAGTTTCTGCAGACACACAACAGGACAAAATGCGTGTGAGTGCTGGAGTCTCTGCTGTGTGTGTGTGTTTGTGTGTATGTGTGTGTTCTTTCCTCCCACCTTGTTGGCCTTGCTGTCTTCCACCGTGTCTTTGGAGATGGTGTGTGTAATTTCTGGACAGAGGATGAGGAGGATGATCTGCAGTGGCCACACAGCTGCCTTCCTCTTGGCACTCTCCGCAAAGCTGTCTACCAGGTCGAACAGCTTCTCTGCGGCTTCTGAACACACCACCACACACAGTTAATGACAGAAACCTCACTTTTAAAGAATCATCTTGAGGAGCATCCAAAAAAATCTGTGGATGTTGCTGCGTGGGGGTATCATTTTCATCCTCCCTACCACTCCTTCACATCTACTGTTCTGTCCCTGTCTATCTAAGTTTGCGCTGCTTGACCTTATTCAAAATGCAATAAAGCCTACAGGGACCAGTAGAGGTGGAGTGAAATGCCCATGCGGGTGCACGTCTATAAATTTGGGTAAATAATTCTGAATAATGAATGATGTCTGCGTATGTGTGAATTCATATGAACTTGGAGCTGATCTGCGCGTCACTACTGGGCAGTATGAAGGCTATATACCACGAGAAAACAGAAATGTGTTTACCATCAGAGATTTGCTCATATTAATTCTGAGGGAACTCTCTAATGTCTGTGCATATCATTATGCCATTGTGGGCTGGGACTACTTTTTATCACGTGATAAAAGAGCTTAATTTATGTGGTATTTGCTGGATAAGTCAAATCATACAGACTTCTCTATAAACACTGTTTTCAAATGAAGCTCAGAACATGTACTATTATACTAGCTGTGTTGTCTAAAAATAAGGCTGTGAAGAATTCTTTCAACTAGTGCCTCAAAGCACATGTGATTAATTATTGATGACTGGCTTGGTTTGTCTGTATCTGTAGAGCTCTTATACAAATGTAATCAAGTCAAATCAAATCAGTAAGACTGAATGCTTTGAATCCATTCATACCTGCCATATCTGCCTGTGGTCGCTGGTAGAGCATGGTGAACTCATCTGGGTAATTCTCCACCCAGTTCCAAAATGCCTGTGGAGAGAGAGCAAGTAGAAGTTCAACTTTGGAAACATTTCTCTGCTAACAAATGTTAACCATTGCTCATTTATTGTTGACATTTCAGATATCCATTAGTATACTCTAGCACACTATAATCAAAACTTTATGAGAGCCATTTAAAGTATTATAGTTTATATAAGTTTACTGTATTGTTTAGACAGAAACAGGGCAGTGTACAAGTACCTTTTCTAAGCTGTTGATGACTGCTAACTGGGCCGGCTTCTTGAGAGCTCTAAACTTCAGTACAGTTTCTGCAAGAAAACACAACAAAATTAACACATAGATCACAGAGACTGTCTCAACCTCTACCTCAATTTCTTAATAATTTCTGGCTATCACATTAACAGAACAGGAGGAACTCTTGAAGCAGCACTGACACAGTTCTTTACCCGGGTCTAACTATTCTAATAGATTGGAACAATGCCTGGGTACCCATAACCTTGCAAGGCAGCTAGACTTGCAAGATCACACGAGAATCCATCTTTCCAGACTTAAAGCTATGAGCTTGTGTCCAACTACAGTGGTTCGGACCCAATCAGTGTCCTATGAGCAACTACTGGCAGCTACATAGTCCATATACCACAGAGACAAGCACAGTTTTCAGATGCTAGTTTTGTTAAGTTATCAATGTTACGTTAGTTACGTAATGTAATAACGCATCGTAACACAACGTGTTTTTTGTGGTTATTTTAAGTAGCTAGTGTGTGTGAGTCATCTTGTTTCCTTATCATCTCTGTTGAGGGTTGCACATGTGCAACTTTCTGATGTACAGTCAATCATAATGTGTTACAGCATCTGTAAATGCAGGACCCCTAAGCACATCTGGTGCCTACAGTGGCTGCTAAAGAGGTTAGCATAGATGCTGCTAGCAACAGTCCTCTCAGAACTGGAGAGCACTCCTCATTGAAAGAAGAACAAAGAACGGCACTGAAGGATTTTCTCCATGTAAAAGATGTTTTCACTCTTTTCCCGATTGACTTCAGTAAGAGTTTGACTACGTCATATGGTTCATTGATCTGATTGGTTGAAGTTTACCCATGATAGACGCTGACAGACAGATGATTCATCCATTCACCTGCTTGCCCTTTTCTGAACTGTTTCAAATGATGACTTTCCACATGGTTCTCCGTAACAAACCATCTGGCGCAGTCAGGTTAGTGTACTCCGAACATAAAGACAGTTCGATCAGAAATGTGTGACAATATTTAACTGAAAGAACTGTGGAGTTCTGAGCCTGATAATGTAAACCTAGAAGAACATTAGAGGCTAACCTTGCAGCAGTCTCTTCAGCTTGGAGCAGTCAACATTGATGTACTGCATCAGCTCTATGTCATGAACATCCACATTGTCCTCCGAACACACGGTCAGCTCCTGTAGCCTGGGGAGACACAAAAGCACACATGGATTCTGCCCTGAATGCAGGCAAAGACACCAAGAGATGAAATATGAAATGATTTTTCAGCCTTCATCTGGATGTGAGATTCTTTTCCACGATCACCCTGCTCAATATGAACACATTCCAGCAAGCCTGGGCCACATAGTTGAAAACATTATTAAAGTGATATTAAAATTATATTTTCTGAATTGCAAATGCATTATGTGGATGTTAATTATCAAAAATGATATGAAATGAAATATGAAATGTGGTGCTTTAACCCAACTACAAAACAAAAACACCATGATTCAGAATCTGGAACCAGTGAATTCTTGGCATTTTTGCTTATGAAGTTGTTTGCCAATTAAAGTTTTGTCAGCTCATCAATACACTGACTAATCATTTCAGCTCTACTGGACAATACACAGTAAATTCACAGAGACAGCTCCAAAGAGACGGCAGCTAGGGGTTTGGAGGCTCACTCCAAAATACCTGGTGGAGATGCGGCTGAAGACGGCGTTGAAGTTGTTGCAGCTCAGGGAGAAGAGGACAGCTGAGGCCGAGGCCCGGAGCTCAGCGGCGTGTTGGTGGCCCTCACGGTATGTGTGGATGAAATGGCAGATCTCCGGCAGCAACTGTTTGACCAGCATGGTCTCATCCAGACGCAAGCAGTCCTTGGATTGCTGAGGAGGGAGGACACAGTCAGGAAAGAGCCAGTCGTCTGTTTAACTGATTTGATCCTCCATGTTAGAACTGGGGAGAAGCTATGGGTCAGCACCAAAAGGAGCAGGTCAAAAAATCACTGGAGATTTGTAGGCCAGAACGAACAAATCGAGGGCTCTAAAATTTTCTCCTACAGACTTGGAAGGTTGAGATGTATTCAGATGGTTACAATCTGCAACTTCACCACTAGAGGCCACTGAATCGAATACACTGACCCTTTAAGTACTCATATCAGTACTTGGCATCAGCAAGTACCCAAATGTAAGTACTTGGACTTATATTTGGTGCATCCAAACATTTAGAAACCTATTCCAGTTCAGAAGCACAACATCAGCCACAAATGCAGAAAGGTACCTGGCTTCCATCTGACCATGAACGCTAATAATAAAAACCTGTACAGGAAGCTGAAAGCAGGTCCCATCGCATGGTAGGCTCCCACTAAATGCCTGCAAATGTAATCCGGGCCTGCTGATCCACCGAGAAACTCCAAGAGATGAGGAGAGTGTGATTGATGGCAGATAAGTACATTAACAGTGGTTTGTCTCTCTGTGAGCACAAACACAGCAGCACAGATACTGAATCATTTCTGAGTTGGATTTTAGATCATTTCTAAAATCTGAAGTTTTTTAAAAGTGACTGTTTTCTACAGATGAAGACAGCGTGGGGTTCAAAGGGGAAGACTCACCCCAGCCAGGCACTTCTCCAGGGTGTCAAGAATGATGAGCTGGGAGAGGTAGAGGTTCTTCTCAGAAGCTTCTCCAAATATCCGCTGTGAAGACAATCACAGTCAGAACATCATTCACTCAGCATTTAGCACACCGCATTAGGAAACATCAGGGTTTGGTGTTGTCCTACCTTCCGGACCAGTATCACTTCATTAGACTTGGATACACACTCCTCCCTAAAATCATAGCCTTACTAACTAACTTATTTTTCTACTTCATGTACATCATAAAGCCTTTAATATAAAGACTATAAAAATAAAAATATGAATTATCTTAGGTTCAGATTATATTATATTTTTGACATCATGTCGCGGGCCGGAGGGAGGGGGCAGGTTGTTTGAGATTCCGGGATTAGCATAAAGTGGGCATGTCTGTAAAGGAGAGACCCATAGAACCCATTTTCTGTTCGATGGACTTTGCCATCGCTGTGTGAAAGGGTGACACGTAGTGTAAAAGCGTTTTGAGTGGTCGGAAGACTAGAAAGGCGCTATACAAGTACAGGTCCATTTACCACTAAACTATAGCAGAGCTGTTGTATTGGACTGCATTAGATTGTAGTCATTGGCACATCTGCATGTGAAAAAAGTGGGCAGGATTGGGCAATGAATGCTTTCGAGGAGAGACTGTCCAAAAAATGCGTGCCAGCAGTCTATATGTCACTAGCAGAGCTGGAAAGGGTTGCTTCACTACCAGTATAAATAGGAGGGATGATTACAGCAACCAACAACCCACTGCCCTCTCCTTACACAGAGGAGGAAGAACCCCACTCACCATGTTGTTGACATTTTTGAGGATGGTGGTGAGGCCACTGATGACGAGGGAGAACTTGTACTTGGAGATGTTGATCAGACATTCCTTGTTGTGCTCTGTGCTGACTTTGGTGTGGGTGTTCTGGTGTCCAACTTTAATGGGAAGCTGGAAGAAAAGACAAGACGGTCAACACACTGTTCAGTTCATGGCATTACATTACAGTGGAGTCAATTCACCATTACGGAATATTATTCTGTGTAACATTGTCGGCTTTGTTATTTTTATTGGGCTGCAATCATCACATACTGTAGCGTCCACAGAGTTTCCTATTACGGACGAGTCAAAACTGCACAGCTAAAAAACAACATCGCAACGACTACAATGCCAAACTCAAGGCTTCAAAGCGGTGCACCACAAGCCAATGACATCACAATTGGTTCGCACTTAGTGAACTCATACTTTTGTCCAACAATAGTCAGCTGTATCAGGCCTAAAAATTGGACTCCTAATTGAAAGTCTTGGACTCAATACAGCCCCATGGTTTCACCATGAAGTCAGACTGTCACACCATCACATGCACATACTACACAACATAAAACAGGCTATTCCTCTGTTTGCAGTCCAGTGCAGCATAGCGCGGTCTGTGAGCTCTTTGTTTCATGCAGCTAGGCCTAGTCATTCCTCTAAAGGTCATACATGCACTCAGTGGCCAGTTGATTAGGTACACCTAGCTTAAGCTAATGGAGACTAATACAACAGCTCTGCAATAAATCCTCCCTGCCTAAACACTGTTCAGATAGAGGCAAAAGACAAATAGAAAAATATATTCCTTGTTCCTCCAACATAGTTCTCACTGGGGTGGGCGTCTAGTTTATTGTTGGAGCTAGAGAAAAAATAAACTGGGTACATGAAAAAGGGAGAGACAGACGACTTTTATAACCCAACATATAAGTACAATACCAGGGGAAAAAATGAAAAAATAGCTTGTTCAGTGGACAGCAGTGTAAACATAAATCCAGTGACTCCTGTGTATGTAGTGTCAATGTACAGACCACCATGTAGAATGAATGTCACTCCAGATCACGTCACAGGTGCAACTCAGGTAAATGGTAATGCTAAAGTGACCTGAGCCACAGCCATCATATTTATCGAAAAGTGACGAAATATTTAATATTTTCCATGATTTCCTAAGGTATGGGAAATGTTGATCGCCATATATGAAGATGGACGACATGACAGTTCTCCAAAAGTGAACCCAAAACATCTTGATCGCTCCCTGGGGTTGCAGTATACTTCATGAAGCCCACTGCCTCCATGTTAACAGGAACAAACAAAAAAATCTAAGTAATACAAATACATTTTTCCCCAAAGATGGTATGTCATTTTAGGTAGTTCTTATTACACTGATGTATGTTCAAGTGTTCATTTTCTGATCAGTTAAGTTTTAATTAGTCATCCGAAGCTCAAAATGGATGTCCCGAGCAACGTTGCATAGTACAACAGTGTTTACAAGCACCATACCAATAAGGATTTTTCAAGGCCGATACAGATACTATACCAATACAGATTTGACTTTTTACTGTACTACATGCATTTGATCATTTTAGTTCATCTGCAAATTATTATTAATGCAAAATATAAAACTAATAAATTATGATGTATTATTATAAATTAAGCTACCCAGCAGTATAAAGTAATCAGTTGCAACATTAAAGTGATGAACACATTAACGTAGCAATAATTATAATCCAGATATATAATATATATCATTCTGAAACAATTGATTCCACACTTTTAGTTTTGGCACTAAGTAGAGTTTGATGCTAATACTTTTTTTTTGTACTAAAAAAAAAAAAAAATAATAATTTCATTTTTTTTTTATATTTCAGAGATTCTTAGAAGCAGCTCGTGCCATAGTTTGAGTACCAGTGGTTTAGAGACTGGCTTGTGAGTCCAGAACACCCCGCATATATAAAATGAGCCACAATGCAAGACAGCTGAATGGACATATCAGTTTCTTTAAGCACTGAGTGGACAGTTCAACATTCCTCAAGTTCTGTCAGGAACACTCACATCATTTATTGCAAATTGCCTGGCTGTGACAGAGCTGGCTGTGAAGACGAAAACAGGAAGTGGGCCGCATCTCTGCAATGCTCTCTCCGATCTGGATCATAATTTATATGCAAGTAGACAAGTCCTCATTGGACCTGTGAGCATTACACTCCTGCTTGACCCTCCAATGTTCTGCTTGCAGTTACATTAACTAACTATATCTCTCTTTCATATTTATTGGTAAAGTGCGGTACTCTGGACGGATTCACTGAGAGTGACTTGTCAATCATAAGGTAGCCACGCCCTAAAGCCCTGCTTTATCGTCTATTTGACACTAAATGGGACCATAATTTACTAAATGAACATGTCATGTTTGGAAAATGCTTTATGTTTGCAGGTTTCAGAATATGCTTGTATCTGATATACTCTTTGAAAAATATTTTTTTAAACATAATCTGGTGTTTCATCCACACAATCAATGAACCAAAAATCTTTTAATATTTAAAATTAAACAACCCATTGTTATATTTATTTGTCGTCTCCTGCCGTGTCCATCGTCATTCACAACTGCCCCATATCCAAAGATTGCTGTGTCCAGACCTTCCTGGCCGAGCCTTCCTTCCGCACCAGTTTTGTTTTGTACAATATCTGCAGAGAGAAGGAATGTCAGTCTGGATGACAATCCTCTCTCACAAAACAATGAACAACAACGTCCTTCATGCAACTGTCAAACATATCTAAATTGGCCTCAAAGGTTCATTCTTGACCTTGGAAACAGACCAGAAAAAGCCTCATCACAAAATCTACTTTCTTGATATTTCTAAAACTTTCACTTTACATCGAGTTAGGTAGATTAGACAGAATTCCATGATTGAGGTCACATGATAAAAACTAAACCATCTCCATGACAACTGAGCAACACCGTTCCCCAAGAAAGCCCAAGAGCACTGTGGACCTGATAGATAAGTAGCTCTGAAACACGCGATTGTTAAAAGACCTACAAGAAGGCTACAAGAAAACCTGATAAGCATATTAAATATATAATATATATCATAGCTGTAGTGTTTATAGACAGTTTTAGCAGATTTAGTGAACACCGCTCAACTACATATAGGAATGTCCTATAGTTAGTTGGGGCGGTGTTTCAGGCGCGGCTGTGGCTCAGCAGGAGGAGCGGGTTGTCAAACTAATCGGGAAGGGCTCCGATCCCCAGCCTTCCTCTGCACATGTCGAAGGTGTCCTTGAGCAAGATACTGAACCCCAAATTGATGCTGTGAATGGTGTCATGAATGAGTTAGGTTTTCTGTTCGATGGGCTTTGCCATCACTGGAGTGAATGTGTGTGAAAGGTTCAGGTCAAGTGCATGCTAGTGTAAAAGCGCTTTGAGTGTCGAAAGACTATGAAAGGCGCTATACAAGTACAGCGTCCATTTTACCATTATCATGGTATCCCAAATGGTTTCCAACAATGGTTCAAAGCTCAGAAGAAAGTCGTCATTTTATTCAGGTAACGCGTTTCGTTTCACTGGTCGCCTGTCCGGATGGGGTAGTATTCCCCTTTGTGCCTGCGTCAGATTGTGGTTGCTGGCCAGAAGCTGTCGATACATTGACTGTTTATCCAGTTGAAGCCACATTTTTACCATTCCAACTGTTTAGATCTTGGTGCTTTTCTAACTCTAGATTTGAACCGGATGAAGGATTTTAGTCACTGGTGTCTGGGATCTAAGTTACCGGTTACAAGTTCAGATGTTCAATGAGCACAGAGAAACTCCACTTACAGCAGATGAATGTGAAAAACATCATTCTAGGGTGTCAAACTCTGCAACAGACATTTTCAAACAGCACACTGGGGAACGCGAAGAAAACTGAGTTCTGACTGGAAGGGGACTTAACCACTTGCTTTTAATTTAATATATGGTTGTTGCAACCACACTGGTTTACATTCAGTTTGATAGCTAAAAAGGAGGCGCATAAGATAAACATAATGTCTAGCACTATCAAGATAACTTAGAAAGACTCCTTAATTTAATTGGAGTCTATTTATGAC